GAGGAGAGGAGAGGAGAGGAGAGGAGAGGAGAGGAGAGGAGAGGAGAGGAGAGGGGATGCAGGAGAGGAGAGGAGGGGATGCAGGAGATAAGGGGATGCAGGAGAGGAGAGGAGGGGATGCAGGAGAGGAGAGGAGGGGATGGAGGAAAGGAGAGGAGGGGATGCAGGAGAGGAGGGGATGGAGGAGTGGAGGGGATGGAGGAGAGGAGTGGATGGAGGAAAGGAGAGGAGGGGATGGAGGAGAGGAGGGGATAAAGCAGAGGAGGGGAGGGGATGGGGGCCGGCGGCTGCTGGAGGGAACGGGGCGTCTCGGAGAGCGAGCAGTGCAGGTAAAGCCGGTCCCAAAGGCGGTTCTGCGCATTCCTTCGGTTCTCCCAAACCTCCGGGAATTGCGCCGTGGGATGTCGCCTCCTTGGGACAGCACTGGGCTCCCAAAGGTGCTGGCCGCACCCCCACATCTGCCCCGCAGCTGGGTCTGGCACAGGAGCGCTGCGCTCCTCCAGAGCTCCTTCCCTGCCCGCATCAGCTCCGCATCGGGAGCTGGGATGTGCGTGTGGTGCTTCCCTTCAGGAGCAGTTTTTACGGGTTCTCACCTGAAAATTGTACTTGTTCTCCGCTTGCAGTTTTTCCCTACATAGCCATCCCAAAATAAATTAAAAACAAATTTTTAAAAAAAGCCCCCATCTTAGGAAATTTGCTGCTTGCTCTTTAAGGCCAAGAGGACGTGCCGAATAGTTAGGCACCGGGGAAGGACAAACAAACAAAAGCAGTGAAAACAGAAACGTGGCCCTGCTGACAGCCCCCGAGTGCTGGCTGCTGGTCATTGCGATAACAGGACATAATCTGGTTTTGTCATCTGAGAAGATTCATCCCTTTGAACTGCAGCTCTAAACCTCACCATACAGCCCATGGCATACGGTGGCAACCTGGCAGCTTTAGGGTTTTTTGTCTTTTGGAACATGTCACAGCTTCACATTATCTGTGATTTCTAGGGGTGAGAAGCAGGAGCCACATTTTGTTATCTCTGAAACAAAACACAAGTAGCCAAGAGGTCACAGAGACACTTTCTTGCTCCACTTTTCTGCCCTGCCCTGCTTTGATGGTCCCACCAGACCTATTTGCCTATTTGCTGGCATATCAGAAGCTGATTTTGTTTAAATTTGTAAATTTAGCAGAAGTAATTTTGTGTGAGAGGATGCCAGTGTTTAAAGATTTTGAGAAATTAAAAGTATTTTAGAAAGACAACGCGGTAGGAGAGTTCAGCAACCCCCTGACTGTGAGTGAGATTTGGAATTTCTTTCAAAGAGAAGCTGTTAAACCTGTCATGAATGAAATGCAGCTAAGAGTCAGGGAAAGAGAAGGATTCCATGGCACTTCGGGTGAATAACTATCTCCAGAATAAATAGATAGGACACAAGGACTCAAAAGGAAAGAACAGATTTGAGATAAGCTCAGGGTCTTGGATATCAGGAAGCACAGTGATAAGGAAGCAATTTCCAGAAGTTAAACACAGCACATCTGGAAAAAGACAGCCCTAAAAAATCCTGAAGGGGAAAAAACCCAAACAATGAAACAAATAACCAACACCCCAAAAAAGTTAGGCAATTACACAGCAAGAGTGGGCTAGAAATTAGAGCATGGGAAAGTTTTAACTCAAAGCCAAGAGACATAATTTTAAATGGGAATTACTGAATAGAGTGACAAAAGCAAGTCAGCAGCTACCAGTGATTTGTAAAGTGATTTGTAAGCTTCAAGAGACCTTCTTGCACTCAAATCCAAAGAGGACTATGGAGCCCCTTGCTAGATTTTTTGAAAGGAACTAGCACACAAAACTCCAAAACATTCACTGTGCAAGACTGAGCAAGATATCTTTTGGTAAATTTGGTCTTTGTAAGTAAGAATAGAAATTAATGCTTGCCAAGAAAGCTGTCTTTGTTAGAATGGGCATCCTAAATACTTTTTATGGGTAAAAGACACAGACCAGACATGGTTTAAAATAATGATTATGTTCTGATCATTCGTGTTAGAACTACACTTGTTAAATTTGGAATAGCTGCCCATAAAAGCCACTGCTATGGTAAAGGAGGGAAAACCACTGCTAAAGGGCTTGGGTTCCCTAGTTAGCCGCAGTTCTCTTAAAAATATAGATGGAAATGGATAGGAAAAAAGTGCAACATGATAGATACAATTAAGTGTTGCTTGGATAAGGCAGGAACACATTTCTGCATTTGAAAAAGTAGAACCTAAGACTATAAGTACTTGTGGGATGAAATTAGATTTCTGTAGGAAAAATGTTGTATATCTGCCAGCTCTAGGGAAGCATTTGCATCTGCTGATCCCAGAGATTCTCTCCCATCCTGTTCCAAGACTGCTGTAAAATGGAAAAGGTTCTTTCACAGAGGATGCCATGATATATTGGCATCACGTAGCTGATGCAGAAGGATGAGTGATGCCTCTTTTGCTCTGCTTGAACCTCCACTTCAAGTCTGGCCAATTCCAATAATGATTGTTCAAAATTTTATATATAGAGAATAATCAGAAACATGCAAGTGCCCATCTGCATAAATAAATTTTTTCCAGAGAAAATCTCATAATGCAGATTATTTTTTAATCTGCACTTTTCCCAAGTGATTAAATTTTCTTCCCAAACAAGGGTGGGAAATAATTTTAAGTAACGCCAGTCATATTATTTTGGCATTTTGAAGCAGAGTAAAAACACAGACCATCATTTTGCTAATAAGGAGTCAGTGGGTGTAAATAATTTCTTAGAGTGCTGAAAATGATGTTTCTCAGTGGCTAGATTGATTTTACAAGTAAAAGCATTCTCAGCTCTTCATTACTTGAGTCAACAAAAGCACCCAGTGGTGGATGTCTAGACCAGTACAGGTATTGAAAGTAGAAATGACAAGACAATGTAAAAATTTATTTTCAGCTGTTTCCTCTTCCCCGCTGAACTGAATCCACACCTCTGCATGTTCAGTGAGTGCCCAACCTTCAATTGTTAAATATCTCTGGTATCTTCATCATAGATCTATTTTAAAAGTATTTTTTAAAAATACCTTGGAAACTCATTTGATTAAACCTCTCTTCTCTAAAGCACAAAGAAAAGAAAACCATTTAAGCTGTACCTTGGGCACAGGAATTCTGCACAGCTGCAGGTGATCTGCTGTAGATTACAGTGGTTTTACCATGAAGTATTGAGCTGCATCCTCTTTCTGCTTGTTTGGTTGATTTTTACCTGTGCTTTCTTTTCTTTTTACCATTTGTACAGTATATCTGACCAATCATTTTGATTTCTAATCCTGTCCTCCAATGTAATTGTGCTATCTCCAGATCATCATTAATCTGGAACTATAATGAATAATATAACATGAAATATTTTAGTCTCGACTGTGATTTTTTTTTCTTACTTAGAAGAATGTCATTTGAGGCTCTTTCAAAAGCATTGCTCAGATTAGGTAGTCAACATCTTTTTTTTTTATTATTATTATTCAGCCTGTCTGCTTTGTTCTCTGCCTGTGCCTTCGTTGCTTTAGATGAGTATCTTTTGATTAACTTTGATGTTCTTGTTTTCACACAGAAACTTGAAAATTATTTAGTTTTTCACCATTATTTCAGCCCAGGAAATGAGATTAGTTGGACTAACTTCCTTTTCTCCCACCATTTAAACATATGCACTGATTTGGTATATGCCTATAATTTGGACATCAAAAAATAAAAACTAGTAAGCAAAAAGAGCTAAAACTAATTTATTCTCACTCTAAGTTTATTCTCAATATAAACAAGAAATAAGTAAAGAGTTATCATCTCCCCTCTCTGTGTGCTTATTTGCAAAGCTTCAATTAATATGAAAGATATTACAGCCACTTAAGAAGCAATTATGATTCATATTTATTTATTATTTCTCTTATATATACAAGTGAATATATTATTCAACATAAAATCCCTTGCATATGCAACAAATGGATAAATTATTCCATAGTTTTGGTTTTATAATTTATAAAATTCAAAAGTATTTTAGTAGTGGTTTTGAAGTAATGCTTTCACTGCAGAAGGAAAAAAAAAAGTATATGTTGCCTGAGGCATATCGAAAAGGAACAAAACCATTAAAAAACAGAAGAGGAAGATACTTAAGACACAA